CATTTGCTATAAAAATGCTACATTCATTAAAACCATAAACCAAGAACCTGTGTGGGCAGGGCATGCCTAGTGAGTGTTTGTTGATGATGTGGAGTGACTTTGCATGGTACTCACACTACTGCTTCATTACCATGCAACTCTTGATGGGCATACAGGGTAAAGATTTCAGATAAGAGCTGGATTTTTGGAAAAAGTGAAATATCATCTTGTGAGGGAGATTTCTGTATTCCAGTCAATAGCATTTACTGATCAGTACACAAAGGAAGAACAGGAAAAAAAAAATGTTTGAATCTGTGACATTTACACAAGTGGCTTTGTGTCTCACAGCCTTGGCTTTCTACCATGAAATTAGGGAAAAAAAGTTAATCTTATAGAAGAGTTAGAGAAATTCACTGAATTTAGACATAATCATTAATAAACAAAATTGATGAATAACATACAGATGTTGGCATAGAACAAATGTTCAAGAAATGTCTTCTGAACAGTTTAGTTGCCTTCAGAGTGAGAGTCCTTAGCTTTATTCTGCAAATTCTTTTCATTTTTATTTCTAAATAAATAGTTGTGTGTGTAGATATATATATGTGTGTGTGTGTATATACATATATATATATGCACAAATATGTATTTCTTTATCATTGCTACCTCCTCACTCCCCAGTCATTTTAACTGTGTGATATGGAAGTTCTGTCTATATTTCCTTTGGTCTTGTTTTGTTACCAATATTTCCTCTAAGGTTCATTAGCACATAAAGAGATCCTTAAATAATTATGTAGGAAACAAGGTTATTTTTGGTCTTGCGGTATTGATTTCTGGGCTGCTGAGTATGAGACAATGTCAAATATCTTGAAAGAGATGAAAGATTGTCATGCACAAATGATTTGACTAGGATCAGTTATACTAATGTCTTTGGCTCTCAAGAACTATTTCAGGTTCTTATGATTAGAGACTGACTCCAGTTAATTTTCTCCTCACCTTTTTGTTTATTCTGGCAAATATCATATTAATTTATGCTTATGTTTGTTTGATGTGCTGGTGACTTGCAGCCCAGGGACTTGTGCATGCTAAGCAAACATGCTATCACTGAGCTAGTCCCAAGCAAAGAAAATCTAATATCCCTTGAGATAATTACTGTGAACAGCTTGATTCATTTACTTCCATGATTATCTTTGTGCTTATACAAATATTTAGAAATATGTTTACAGGTATTTTTGTTTCTTTTTATTTTAAACCCATACAGACAAGATAATAGTATGTGTTTTTTTCTAGAACTTACCTTTGGTAATAATAAACTTGGACATTTTATACCATTTTATTTTCTAAATATATCAGCCTCCTATTTGATCATTATAAATGATGTATCATCAGCTCCTTGATTGACCTTAGCCTTTTTCATTATTTTGTCTTGTCAATAATGATTGATAAGGTTGGTAAGAGTTAAAAGATAATGTTAAGGAACTGTTTGTGGGCCATTTGTATAGTGTTTGGGACACCATTTAGTACTAATAAGTCAGTTCCCATGGATAGAAAATTTTAGAAAGAGGTATATCAGTGTGATTTCTGTCATCAGTGGGCAGAGATGGACAAGTGACTATACAGATCTATAAAACCATAATGACTTGCTATATGTAGTTATTTCCAAAGAAGTCTAAAAATAATCTTTGTGTAAACTGTCATTTATATCAGAACACGGCTCATCCACGTCTGTGAAGTGTCATCCCCAGTAAGTACCTCCTCAGATTGCCCAGATTCCATGGTAACAGGCACCTCACAGAAAGTGAGATGGGCTTTTAATTGCAGCCTCAAAAAATACATTTCAGGAAGTTTCCAAAACTACTGCATTGTATGAAGAAAAGTTATAATTATTTTAGTCATCATAGTATGCATACCATGTATATTTTTGGCATAGTTATTGGAAATATGCATCATAGTTAAATTTGAATATATGTATGTTACATTGGAGAAAATTATATTAAAAGTTAACCAAAGTTATCATTTATCCATATAATTTTATATGGAAATATAAATGAATTTAGGTGATTGCTATCTTTCGTTATTCACAGTGTAAGTAAAAAGCAGATTTAATTTGCTATAAAATTTATCCTAAGGGGACAGATGTTTAGCTACCTATGCATGTATAAGTTTTCCTTCTCATTTTTATTTGTTGTCAAAATCAATATACTATTCAGAAACAGCCAAATTGTTTCTAGATAACTGAGTAGCTAAGATTTAGGGAGAAATACAAATTCAGTCTTACTAGAAAATTACTTGAACTAAGCGGCATAAACCAGAGCCCTAAGATTAAGTGGATCTTTTTCATGGTCAGCTTGGACATTGGCCATACAGACAAATCCATTGGCATCTTTGACCTCAGTTCTTTACAAAGGATAATGAGAATATGGGAGGGATGATTCTTTTTATCCCTTCCAGAGCTGCTAATACTCAGTGATCCAAAAAAGTATTTGCATGTGGTTAAATGGTATTGTGTGGAAGTATTTTAAAGAACCTTTGAAAATGAGTGAATTTAACAAGACAAAAAATCGGGAAAAACTGAACTAATGGTCAGTTTTCTTTCCTCATACTGTGTAATCAAAAAACTGTGCAATCAAAAATGTGATGAATGTTTAAATAAAAATATTTATCGTAGTAAAAGATACATTGCCATTGTTACTCAAAATGTTCCTCCTTTCTTTGGACACACATTCTTTTGTTTTTGCCAACTTCTGAAGCAAATTCTATCAAATTAAAAACAGGTGTTTCCTCACACACTTTAATCACTCACTCTGACATTTTGTGACTTCTGATTTTTCCCCAATGGCAAAATGCCAGTGAAAGGTGACATTTTGACTAGATTCAGGTCAGCCAGCCACAATAGTGCACCTAAAGAAACTCATGAAAGAGGACCTTCAGATCTGCTTCAGAAAGTGGCAAGAATAGGGGATAAGTGTATTCAAATCAAGGAGGAGTATTTTGAGGGGATTTAATGACAGTGCCTTATACTGTAAAAAATGTTTTTTCAAAATTTAAACATTCACTGTATTTGTTGATCACATTTCATGTACGGTATACATAACTATGAAATGAAGTTGAAAATAATAGAATGCTTGGGAAAAATTTCATAGTAAGACGTTGAAATCTGGCAAGTTATCTTGAAAACCTTGGTACTTCCATTTCCTTCCCAATTCTGCCTTACTCCAAAGTAAATTAAAGTCTTTTTACACAGAGTTGTTGTTCACGTATTAGTTGGGAAATGAATAGATTAGTAAAAAAATGAGAGACCAGCTCATCCCAGCAAAGCAGTTTAAGCAGGAAAGATGTTTGTGATGGAACTTTCTCTTATTCTGTAGTCCCAGAAGATGTGTAGCTTAAAGAAGAGTTGGACCAACAGAGATCAATCAGATTAGGTTTTATGAAAGAAACATTTCCAAAACGTGAGCCATAAAAAGTTGTACGAAAGGTCGTGGTTAGTTTTGTGATGGAACTTTCTCTTATTCTGTAGTCCCAGAAGATGTGTAGCTTAAAGAAGAGTTGGACCGACAGAGATCAATCAGATTAGGTTTTATGAAAGAAACATTTCCAAAACGTGAGCCATAAGAAGTTGTACGAAAGGTCGTGGTTAGTTTTTTTTTTTTTTCATTTTTCTTTGCATTAACTTCATCCTAAATGTACACACATATTATTATTTTTTTTTTTTTTCATATTTCTTTGCATTAACTTCATCCTAAATGTACACACATATTATTTTATTTTTTTCTTGCATCTATTCTTTGCCTTGGTTTTTACCTCTTGGCTGGTGTGCTGACAGCCAGATCATTTGCCTTCTGGTGGTAGTTGCACACCCATGGGTGAAAGAGTAGAAAATTTGAGTTTTTTTGCAGTTTTTTGAATGAGTGGTGACCATCTGTATTCCTCCCTGTTGGGAAGGTCCTCTAGGTAATTTTATAGACATTAATCCTTACTAAAACCCTTTTGGGTGTTATTAGTATTAAACAGGAACCAAATAGCTCCCTGTCTTGGCTTTTATGACCCAGAGTTGCCTAAGTTCTTGAACTTTGTCTCTCTTGACATGCACTGTTAAAAGAGGCCCCAGTTTGCCTTTAACTAGGGCCTACTTCTTTAGATTACAGATTAGCTCTGTGGAAAAGAGACCATAGAAGTGTTGTTATTCTTTTGAATAAGAGCAGTCAATAACAACTGATCTAACTCTGATGTTACCTTATGAGGAAAATGTTTTTGATGAAAGGAAAAATGAACATTTCTTCTTTGTATTACACTTGTCAGGCTCAGAAAGCTAAGGCCTTTTTTTGGAGGAGTACTAAGAAATCTAGGAATGTTTAGTTCTACATATTTTAAATGTTGTAAGTGGGGAGAAATAATGATAATTTACAGATACAGAGTAAAGTAGTTTCTCGAAAATAAGTTGTGAAAAAATGCCGCAGGGAAGAGAAGTAAGGTCATTGTAATTGTAATATCATGAGAACCATACATATTTGAGAATCTGACTTATACTTAGTACCTGGGACTCAAGAGTATTTCAAAGCAATCTAGAAGATGTGATTTAAGAGCTTTTTTTTTTTTTTTAAGAGCTTTGTCAGAGGGATTGTTTTGAGTCACACGGTACAGAATGCTGAATTCTCATGAACATTTTGAAAATTCTAAACTTGGGAGTAAAATAATATAAAGCTCATGTATATGTAGGTACTTATAGGTGTTAGGATTTTTTAAGTGAGAGTTTTAAAAAAAATCTTTAATCGTTTAAAATATAAATATTGGCTGACAGTGCTTGAGTTGATGAATGGGATGGGTATCTGAAGTTTGCCTCAATCATATTGTATTGAAATAAGAACTATGTTTTATGATACCCTGGTCACTGAAAATACACAATTTCTTTTCTGGTTTGAGTACTTGAGTTTTCTCTCTGGTCCTTATAATTACAATTTTAAAGTTTAGTAAATAAATAGACTGGTAACTCTGTGTGACTTACTTGGAACTATTTCTTTCAGCTTTTTGCCTGAATTCATCAATGGGGACTTTGATTCTATTAGGCCTGAAGTCAGAGAGTACTACACTCTTAAGGTAAACTATAAACACTGTTACATTTGAGAGTTTGTTCATATCATTGCTTTTTCTGTGTCATTCCTGATTTTCTCAGTCCTTAGGTAGGGACCAAGAAATTCTTTTTTTTTTGGTGGGGGGGGTTGTTATTGAAATTATAATATGCGTGCAAAATGGAAATTTTAAGGTGACATATTGCCATGTAGTCATGGAGAAATTCTATCACCATCAGGTAAACATTATTCAATCCATTAAGTATATATAGTTTATATAAATTCATTTAATATTCTATTCTTGACTATATCCTCATTTGTTATTCATTTTTCACAAATAATAAATTTAATGAGTGTACATTATTGTACTTAACCAATTCCCAATTAATGTACATTTGTTTATTTATTTATTTTTGGCCTTGCAAATTGCTAAAAGCATCATTCTAAATAAATTATTCTAGCAGTGCATAATTGTGTGTTACTAGAATTTTAGAGCCAAAGTTTTTTTTCTATAACAGTTAGTTTTCTTGAAACTCTCGTTACTCTGTTCTGAATAAAACTATTCATTACAAGGTAAGATTAATAATAGCCTTCGGTTTATTAAGGTATTCATTGTGTCACTATTGTTGTGCAAATCTTCCAGAGATCCTTGCTTCTTAACATAAAAATGATCTAATTGGGGATTATAGAATCACATAGGAGTGAATTAAAGTAATTAATAATTCAGGGTTTCACTAGTTTTAGAAGACAAAGCAGAGTTTTTAAAGGAAAATTATAGCATTTGTAATTCTTCCAGCCACAACACCATCATCTGTATTATTCTAAATGGCACTGGCAAATTGCACATATTTTTAAAGGAACAGCAGGTATTGAGATCATAAAACTTTAAATGCTTTATAAGCCTGGGGGAGAAATGAGAGATTCAAAAGAGAGAGAAAAAACCTTTTTAGAAAAGAAAAGACAGGAGGGAATAAGGAAAAGGAAAGAAAATAAGAAAGAGAAAAAGTGAAGAAAGGAAAACGTGATTCTAGGTGGGAAGTAGAGGTGCCCTGGTTATAAAGTGTAGGCTTTTGTGATGTGCATATTCCTGCTTTGGCAGCAAATGCAGCTCTGTGCACTTCCCATCTGCCCACCAGCTGATCAGACTTTCCTTTGGCAAATGAAGACTGTTCCCAAGTCAGTGTTTGATATTCATGCTCAATTACTTTAACATTGGCACGTTCCTATTCATTCCCCACAGTCTCACTTCTCATTAACTCCATACCTCAACCTCATTGGGATGAAAAGCCTCAGCCTTGCTTACAATGCAGAGTTTTGCAAATGCATAGATATTAATCATATTTTTGGAAGCCCAGGAAACAGCGGGAGAGGCAGGGACAAGCATACTCATAAACAAGTTGAAGATCTGGCCAGATGTGACTTATCTTCCTGTCTCTTAATACTGCCGGCTTGCCAAAATTGAGAGTACCAATCTGATATTCCTGTTAAGGATGAAGAAAGGAGGTGTGATGCGAGGCTTTTTGTTTTTTCCTGGATGCAGTAAAATGGGGGTCGAGGGTAAAGCAAAATTTTAAGTTATATCTCTTGATGAATTTTTCTTATACATCTTTTCTGTTTGGTTTGTTTTTAACCTTAATAACTATATTTGTTAAGGATTAACATTTTTTATTAGTACATATTTGTAGTGCATACTGTTTACGTTCTTTGTGAGGAATAGTTACATGAACATAACAGATCTTAAGTCATTTTATCTCCTTTCCTCCTAGCCCCCCTCCATCCATCTCTTGATCCTATCCCTCCCTTTTTTATTAGTACATGTTTGCAGTACATAACTTTCCATTCCTGAGGGGAGTTAGTTGGTGCATGTACATAGCATATCTTAGTTCCTTTTTTTAACCCCTTTCTCTCCCCTTTTTCTCCTTTCCTTCCATCTCTTGATCTTTCCTTTTGAGAAAGAATTATCTCCCAACTTCCTATTACCTGCTTTTTATTTTGCTCTTTATTTATACTTTGTTTCACAATTACAAGGAAGCATGTGATATCTAAGCCTCTTGTGTGTGATTTAGTAGTTTTTAAAGTAAGATTTAGCCAAATCTAATTTTAAAACTGCACAGGAACCTCTAGGTTTCATAGAGTACAGTTCTTGTTTTACAAGCGTCAATGAATGTTGAGCTCAGTGGTTTTGATCTTTTAGGGTATGTTCCTAAGGGCACAGTGATACCTTTTATATAGTTAATGTGCCCTATAGGGTGCTTGCTGAGTGTTTGGCTGTAGTTTCAATAATGATGATAATTACAAGTTAATGCAACATTACACACGATTAATATACACCATTATCTTCAAGTTCAGCAGTCTTTAAGCTTCCCTTTCTCAAATGAAACAAGGTCTCTACTTTCAGATACACCCTTCCTTCACATGGTCTCTGTTTCTAGGGAAGCTAAAACTAGTGTTCTCTGGGTCTAGTGATGAAAGTAAAATAAAGAAGAAATTTCAAATGGTTAAAGTTTGTTAAAATCATGAAGTAGACTGTAGATCCAGCAGTTAATAATACACAGTGGTGAACTTTGCAGCTTGCATACAGACCTTGATTTACTAGAAAAAGCCTTTTCAGGTAGCTGTATAACTTTTTGTTCGTTTTTTGCCTATTTATCTTCATTCTTCACTGCCTGGTTCACTAAAATTAATTCAGAATGAAGAATGTCTTCTATAGATGTTCCCCTTGGTGTTTTATTTTATTTTTCTGGGTCATTCAGTCTTTCTTTGATTCAAGGCTAAAATAATCTATTTCCATCTTTGTAATTATTTCATCCATCATGCCCACATACATTTTAGTTTCCTGAGAATCTTAGCACTACACTCTCCTAATATTCGAATATCCTAATATTATTTCTTTGCTTGATAGTCTGTGTATCTTCACTGGATATAGGGAAGAAATTTTTATAGCATGCTCCTCTGCTGAAGGGGAACAGTGCACTAGAGCACTTTCTTGACGCTCATAATGGTGTGGCTTTGACTAATGGGACTGCAAAAAGAAAAAAGAAAACTAAGCCAAACCAAAACCTGAAAGACTCCATCATTGCTTCCTGAGTGTTTAGGAGGTTGAAGAACTAGTTGTGAAAAAGTTACAAAATGACACAAATTTTTCATACATGTAGGCATTCAGGACAGGATATAAAAATATATGATGAGAATAATAAAACATAACAGATTCCGAAACATAACAAAAGTTAAACAGTACTTGTAGGACAGTTTTCTGCTGGGAGCCCAGAAAACAAGTGACTAGAACCAAGTGCTAGAGCTGTTGGAGACAGTGTTGCCATTGTTGTCCATTCTCTTTTGAAAAAATTTTGCTGAAACGTGGGCTCAGTTGCTACTACTATTTCTGAATAGACAGCATCTTTGGCTTTTGGAGCAAACAGTTGTTCCTCATGCACGATGAGTAGCATCTCTTAAGAATGAATGCCAGTATCTTCCAACAATGTGGTAAGAATCAGAGTGGCGACCATCCACTTTGCCTTCACATTTCCAACCTGCTCTTCACTGCCCCTCATTTCTGGGCCAAGAGTAAAGATACAAGAGTTGCACCAGGCCACAGATGACAAAAATCTATGAAATTGATAAGCTGTTACTTAAAAGCTATTTGCACAATATAAGCTTGACCAATACAGATAGTCACAGAAAGAAGGTGATTTGCTAACAGAAAATTAGCAAAATTATGGGTAATTACTAGGTAAGAATGTCTTTATGCTATAAGGGAGTTTTTTTGCTTTCTGGAAAGCTTTATGATCAACACAAGGTTATGGTCTAGACTGTGGTAAAACTTCTATGTAGTCAAAAGCCAAATAAGACTATATATCTAAACCTCAATTTTTTCTTCTCTTAATCCTTCCAGTCTGAAGAGAATTGTTTCACCAGGCCACAGATGACAAAAATCTATGAAATTGATAAGCTGTTACTTAAAAGCTATTTGCACAATATAAGCTTGACCAATACAGATAGTCACAGAAAGAAGGTGATTTGCTAACAGAAAATTAGCAAAATTATGGGTAATTACTAGGTAAGAATGTCTTTATGCTATAAGGGAGTTTTTTTGCTTTCTGGAAAGCTTTATGATCAACACAAGGTTATGGTCTAGACTGTGGTAAAACTTCTATGTAGTCAAAAGCCAAATAAGACTATATATCTAAACCTCAATTTTTTCTTCTCTTAATCCTTCCAGTCTGGGAAGAGAATTGTATCATATTAAATTGGTGGTCAGGAAAACTGGGGCACCCAAAACCCTGCAGTTACAAAGGCTTGATTACCAGGATTACATCAAACCCGAGGATAAATAGTGAATAAGACTGCTAGCTTGGTTGTTACTGAACCACCAGTTTGCAACTACAGATATAACAAGATGGTTGCAGCCCTATAAACTTAGGGAGCAGAGAGAAAGATGTCCAATTAGGTCTTGTCTTCTTTTATTGTCTCCTTCTCTAAACTGGGAAAGATGTTTTTTTTAAAAAAAAGCAAATTACATGAATTGTTGAATATTTTTAATTAAGCTTGTGCTTAATGCTATTTTCTTATTGTCATTTCATAGTGTTAAAGGCCTTATCCAAATTTTTGAAGGCTTTTCTCAATGCACAAAAATAAAACAACTTAACTTTTTAAACCAGTGTGGGTTTTTTTGTAAATATAAAATGTGAAAGAGTATATGTGAGAAAAGTGGCTCATCATTTTTGTCTCATTACAACAGCTGTTCCTGCATTTTAGTTACATTGTAAGGAAACTGGGGATTTGGATTTCAGTATAACTTTTCTCAGTAAAAATAATCAAAAATTGGCTTCTAATCAACATTTAACTGGGATGATTTTTTTCACAAAAAATCTCTGTTACAAAGAGAATGCTTATACTGTAATTCCTACTTAAAGATGGAATCTGATTCTCAAGTGGTGAGGATGGGGGATGGAGCTGGAGGATAAGTAAATATAGCATGTCAAATAACTAATACTTAATCTTGGCTATTAATAGTGTACATTTAGCTTT